TATATATATATAGGATGGATGAATGGATGGATGGATACATGGATAGATAGATAGATAGATATCTTTCAAGTGGTCATGTTTAAAATCAGCATAAAATAAAAGTTTTCACAGACCAGACATTTTTTCTTGTGTTTTTTTTCTCTATCATTTATACAGTAAACTTTTAATTTAATCATTAAGTCAGAGATATTCACACGCATTTCTATATTTGGATAAAATATTTTTTTGGAATTAAGGCATAAGTAAACTTTCACTCAGAGTTAAACATTTGAATTTGTTTCCTTTTGGAGTGTTGGCCATAAAAACAGATAATCTTTTATAATTTTACAATTTATTGAAAAAACAATCCCCTAAAGAAAACAAAGTCCTCTAATAAAATATTCCAAGAATTACAGTTATATTTGTTTATGTAATAAATTTAGTCATTGTACAAGAACAGCCTTCCTCAGAAAGCAATAAATATAACCTCTGTTTTTTTCTGTTTTATTGTTTAGGTTTTTATTGACATAGTTCAATGTTGAAAATATTCATGTATTTTTGCTAAAAGACAAAAAAATATCAGAGCACAACTGAATCTTATCTCCTCAGCATTTAACAATAAACTATTGATACAACTTGGTCATTTCAACTAGTTAGTGGGTCCTACACAACAAACAGGGTCGTAAACAAATAGAAAACAAGTTTCACATAAATACTGTATTTTGTCACCCTTAGAGTTAGGATGAGAAGTTCAATTATTCAGGAGAGACTCTGAGTACATCTTATAGCTTACAGAGTGTTAATTATCATTTAGATGGTATAAATTATAAATGTTTCAATTTAAACGTTTTTTTTTTTTTTTTTGTAACTAACATTTATCTGGAAATACATGCTTGCTTTAAAAAGATTGTTGTTTCTTTTGCTGAAGGAAAAAAAAAAATCTAGGATGCTACTGATATTTTTTCACTCAGTCATTTCTATCAGTTAGAACACTTTCAAGAGGACTGTTTGACAAAACCTGTGATTTTCTAGTTACTGAAAGCCAGCAGCTCAGGGGTCAGACATCAAGCAATTAAAGTCATTATGTAAATAAACCAAATATTACAATGATATGTTTTAAATTTGTTTATTTTGTTGCATTGAATCATAAATGCAATGAACAGAACCCAAACTCAGAAAGGACCAAAAAAAAAAAAAAATTATTTTTTAATTTAATTTTTTAGGGGTGCTTGAGCACCCCCAAAAAGAGGCTAAAATCACCACTGCTTCCGTGTGTTTATAATTATTTTTATTTATAACATGGTTTTTTAATCTTTCTTTCAACAGAAAGTACAGCTGAACCTCATCCAGGACGCGGTGAATACAAACAAACAACGCATTTCTGTTCTGTAGCTGAAGACGCTTCGCTTCCCATCCAGAAGGATTGAAAAGTTTAAAGAGTAGAATTCCAACCTTTTTAAATAGTGAACGTTTTGCCTCTAAAACATTTTCTCTGTGTCATTGTGAGAAAAACCGTTACAGTTAACGAGAGACAGGAAAAATACAAAGACAGATAGAAAAAAGAGTGATTGAGAGCAGAGGAAAATGGGAAGACTGATAGAAAGAAGAATAAAGCAAAGAGAAGGAAAAGAGCAGAGTGTTGCAAAGAAAAAGGAGGAAAGGAAAGAAGAAAGACGAGACTGAATGACAAGATGGCTCCATCAAAGGAGAGGAAGTGTCATTTTAATGAGAAATTACAAGAAGAGTTTCCATTTCTACATCCATGTCAGCTCTTCAGACTGTTGCTCTTCAGTTACGTTAATGTTCAAGTTTATCTGTCACATGTTTATGATGTCAAATATTTACAATTAAAGTTCAAGACATAAACTGATGAAGTGGTTTGATTGGTAACGTACTGAGTGATGACAGAGTGGCTGTATACTTGGTGAGATGTTACGGCTGGTTCGAGTTGAGAGGACAGAAGTTCTTCCTGTGTGCTGGGCGTCAGGTTCACTGTACTTCTCTAACATCAGCGTGTGAAGAGGCAGATTTTTGAGTGATGATGAAATGAGTGGAAGAACAAATTTAAAAGAAAATAATAGGTATAAAAATCATATTACTAAATTGTGTCTTATTTTTTATATTAGTATTTCTCTTTACTATTATCTGTGCTCTTTCAGTTTTCCTGATGCATGCTCAACGAGAGGAACGATGGTTTGAGAGAGGAGTAAAGGAGGCCATCTTTGTGAAAAGAAATCGTCCATCGTTAAACAGGGGTGGAGGCCTCTGGGTTCAACTGTCCCCCTCTTACAATGCTGTGATTGCTAGTATCACTCAGCCCTCTGTGAACAGTACACAGCCATCAGTGTGCTAATGATCCATTGTTAGGCTGATGGTCCTTCTTGAGCATGTGATCAGCTGGTTTTGGTTGTCAGCATCAAACTGGTTGATCCGCTCTGAGAAGGTGCTATTTAAGAGACTGAGCTGAATACAGCACCTCAGACTGAATAAGTCTTTCTGATGAGAGACGAAACATATCTATGTTTTTTTGCTTTGTTTTTTTATTTTTTATTTTTTTGAATGTCCAGAGGACCAGGTTGAACTTTTTTTTGATCTTTCAGTTTTGTGTGCAACCTTTTCTGCTGTTGTTCTATTCCAGACCTCCATGGCCACCATCTCTTCAGACAGAGGAAGCCTCGCAGAACCAGAGATGAGCTCATGTCAGTGGACTACCTGACCTTCACTTACCTCACACATACAATATAAATACACATCAGCTACGTAGCAATACACTGTGTACTTATATACACCTATGTAAGTACATACATGTTCTCATTCACTCAAAAGATATGCACGCTCACTAGTCTATACCCTTGACCATCCCCCCTACTATTATTACCTTATACATTTTATTACCCTTATGAAATGTTAAAAGTGTGGAGAGACACATTACTGCTGTTATATTAGATTTTTATTGTTTAAACATGAATAAATGTGTAAAAATAAATGAAACTGTAACTGTCCCTGTTTTTAATTTCATTTTGATAAAATTGCATTCTTTTTGGTCTCCGAGCTAGAAATGTCTCCAGGTTTACCTTCAGAAATCTGGTCACCTTATCATAAGTTCCCACAATACCAGCAAATCATGTGACCAGCTCTCAGCCAATTAAACTCATTCTTAAAATATCAAAACACTGGTGTGTCCTGATGCATGCTCAGTAAGCCAGGTAGATAGATCTAACAAGGTCAGGTCACTGACTGAACACTGACACACCAGTAACTGGTGTGTTTGTTCGAGAAATGCAGGTGCGTCACTAAGGAATTCTTCCTACCGGAAACATAAACCAGAAACAAAAGTCCTGTTTCTATTCACACATGAAACTGTATGATGCTATAAACACAAATACAAATAATCACACATTTCAGTGATATAAAATATAGTCTGATATAAATATATTTCATTGTCGTTGTTGGTTTGTAGATGATAAATCAATTTTCTAAAGTCACCACTTCTTTATGTTTGGACAAAACTTTCAAGGTTCAAAACCAGAACTGCTATGTTGTGTAACTGGTCCTTTTGCATTTTATCTGTGAAAATGCAACTTAGCAAGTTTAAAATTTCCAAAAAAGACTGCAGGAGACAACTTTTTGTGTTGAAATGTCTGAGTTTCTGCCAGAGGGTGAAACTTACTGCTATAAAAAGACAGATGTAAACAGAACCAACTTATTGGACTGAGAAGTTCTCTTGCTGAATCTCCTCTGTTCTTCGCAGGTAAAATATTCATTAAAATTTTCTTTAAAAGTGGAGGAACAAATTTATTAGATAAAACTGAATTGCTGTTACTTAAGAAAATTAATAAATACATGTTTTCTTGTTTACAGCCTTTTATAACTGACAACTGGTTTCTGCAAATATGGTCCAGCAGGTAGGAGTTTAGTGGTGCTGCTTAAGTTATAAATGAAAACAGCAAAAGTAATTTTAAATAAAAATACACTTTATTAACTTATACTTTTTTCTGTTACAGTTGAGTCTCGTCTTTGCTGCAGTTGTGCTGCTTGGTATGTTGAACACAGTGACATCAGTAACACATTTTAGTTTAGACAATATTTATACAAATTACAACCACTAACCAGCATTATTCTAATTATTTTCCACAGGTTACATGGGACTATATCAAAGTAAGAGTTTTCACAAAGCATTACCTGGTGTTTGAGTTTCTTTGGTCAAAGTGTTCTTGCCGTTAAGACTATTTAAACACTATATTAGTAAAGGAAAAGCTTCAGTACTTTAATTTAAAAAGGGCAGATTGCTTTTCATTAAAAAATAATGTAAAAGTTTTAAAGCTCTCACTTAAACTGTGTGTTTTGGCCCCATATTAGGTCATGCCCGGTTTTTGTGTTGGACTAATTGGTTCAATCGAGACAAACCCACTGGAACAGGTGACTATGAGGATTTGTTGTCATTGCAAAAAGCTTTCCCAGGACAAATTTGTTCTAGACCTGCAGACATTGAAGCTCAGACAGCTGATGATGAAGTTCTAGCTGAAAGGACGCATCAGCAATTCTATGCGTAAGTTGTTTTTAAATATATGTATTCATTAAAAATAGTTGCTAAGCTTATCATTTTCACTATAACTTTTTTAGCACATTAAGAAAACATATTCAGAATGACAATTTTGTATAGAGATACTTAATAATGATCACAAAATTGCAGACTTAAAAACAAATATATTTGTCTATATCCTGTTTACAATGTTGGCCAAGTCAAACATTTAATGTTGTAAAAGGTAAAAACAAAGAAACTGCATAAAAAATTTAATCAGTTTTTGTTTAAAGTAGAAATTTTCAAGAAAACGGTGGTATATTTAAACAGTAATCATTACTGTCTGTTATCTTTCAGCTACAACACCAGATTAGGCTTCATTTGCCGCAATAAGGACCAGAAAAATGAACGCTGCTTTGACTACGAGGTTCGCTTTAAATGCCCGTGTGGATAAGATGAGAGCTGTCACTGATGGAACAAAAAAGAAAAACAAGATGTGGCTTTAGGTTTCTTTGATTTTTATTTGATTCATTTTCATTTGTCCCCAAAACAGGACTGACCTAGTAAAGTTCCTTTGTACCAGGAACTGTCCTGTCTTTAATACTGGTGCTGCTGCTCCTAAATGTACTTTGGGTCATTGATCAAAATAATCATCATACCTCAGTTACAATTGCAAGCCATATATATATATATATA